AAGGTATTAAATACATGTAGTGGAGTACAAGGACACCATTTACCTCTGAATTTTAGTTGAGTACAGTACTTGAGTAAATGTACTTAGTTACCTTCCAGCGCTGCTGCTGTATGCTTCGGCACTTTCCCCATCACTCTGGATCAAAAGTGCTAAAACATGATGAAAGCTTGGTTCTCCTTTTTGTGTGAGCAAGCTCTGATGAGAGGACACCGAAAGAAGAAAGGGAAGAAAGACAGAAAGAAAGTTGTAATGGGTCAGAAAAAGAAAGAGCTAAACGACGGCGTTACAAAAGGGGGAAACCAGAATCCATCCCAAAGCCACTCTTGTGTAGCAGGTCCTTGCAGCTCTGAGCAGCCTCTAATTAGGGTAGTATTCAGGGGTGGCATTAGTTCCCAAACTTTTTAATGGGGTGGAAAGCGGAGCTCCCTTTAGAGAGAGGGGATAAGTGTAGCGCCTGCTCATACACTGAATAGCAGATGGAGAGATTCTGCACCTCCCTGGGAGGTATGCACTCTTTTTACTTTTAAATGTAATTCCTTTTACTCGCCCCTTTTCCAATTGCTCTCTTTTTCTTCATATTCCTCCTCTGTTTTCCAGACATTCCACTTCAGCAGAGGATCCAAGGTTAAGGCACATTAGTCTCTTGCTTCTGATTAAAACCCACTGGTCCGAGGGACAACACTGACACACGTACAGTGCTGCTGATCAATGTGAATTATCCCTGTAATAAGTACATCTTTCTAGTTAAAAAAATTCCTTTTGGAAAAATGACCTAAAACTCTATTGTATTCTAGTCTATTATCTATATTTAAGATATTTTTTTTTTTCTCGTGTGGGGCTTAAACATGAGTGGAAAAAGTAAATGAATGAGCTTAATGATCACATTTGCATATATATTGACAACTTGTTTGAATACACATATTTAAAACTTGAGTCAAGATAGAAACACATACTTTCTCTGTGATTATTATGTGAGATCTTTAAAAGTATCTTTCTTTCAAGACATATTTCTTTACTTATTCATATATATATATATTCATATATATATATACTTTATGTTTTTATTGCTGTTTAAATGTTAAAGAGACAATTTGAGATGTTGAATTTGTATTATGATGGGATAAAACCATATTTCTAACAGCAGTCCTTATTATTGGTTTGTTTGACTTGCACAGTAATGATTATTATGATGATGTTCATTTTTAACTTGTGTTATTAATTATAGAACAATTAAAAACATATAAATAGCTTTGTTCACCTCACTGAGGACTTCCGCTCACACTGCAGTGCACCTTGGTTTGTAAATAATGCAAGATTTGATGGAGGCATTACGAGGCCAGAAACACAACATGTTAACTACACCGCTTCATAAACTGTTTTTAATTAGACTCAATTTAATAAACTTCTTTGACTGTACAGGTCAACTTGCATTTAGGTTTATTCATTCATTTTATTAGTGAGGGTCATAAACTGTATTTGTTGACATTTGTATATAATGGTGTTAGAAAGGTTAGAATATTTCTTATAAAAAAAACAATCTTATTACAAAATCCTATTTTACAGCATTGTTGCTATTTATTTTTATTGCTGTTTTAAATGTTCCCTGTAGTTGCTGCTGCTGCTCTGTCTTTACAAACACTGCTATGTGGCGTGAAGTGCAGCTGCTGGGGTTAAGACTTATTTATTCATATAGGTGTCTAACGGTGGTCCAAAATGTGCCGTTTACTGGCACTAAGTTTCTTACTATAGTAGCAAAAGTCTTTACGACTTCCTTTGAAATATAGATTATTCTCACAGTGTTGAATGGCCCAACACATTTACCCAAAGCCGAATGTGTTTTATGGGCCGAGTGTGGTGCTTTATCCCCTCTCCTCATGACCTGTGACCCAGCAGGATAAACTACTAACTGAGCTTCAGTCATGCTCAAGAAGGCTGATGTCCACATGATCCATGACAAGCTCCTTTTTTAACTGCAGGATTACCCACCTATTCTGCTGTTGATGATAAACTGCCCCTGACAAAACACTTAACAAACCTAACCCTGAGACTCTGGATCAATGTTTTCCCTATTCTTAAAAACAAACCTTATATTTTTTTACCACTCTTTGTTCAGCTTGTTTAAATTATGTTTTTCTTTTTATATATGCTGTGATTTGTTCTTTAAAAGATGTGTACTATAAGAGGTTTGTGTACAAAAGTAGCAAATAAAGAATTCTGATTTAAATGACTTAGGAATTGCACCTGATTTGACTTTGTATAAATTCAATAAAATAAATTCCCTTAAGTATTGACTGCTCCATTTTAAACCCAACAAGGCTTTATTTAAAAATAATAGGCCTGTTTAATAATTGTTTTTATTATATCTCTGAGTGATCAATACATTTGAATGATGTGGGATACTACTATACTGCTAATACTACTAATACTATGAATAATGCATATTAGTAATGGCTATAGCCTATAGTCCATTTTTATCAGGACGAAAATCTTAAAGACCTTTGTGGCGATTTACCACCCGGACCCGGTATATTTATTTATGTAATACCTTTTGTAATCAACCAAACGAGTGCACGTTTCCCATTGGCTAAGAATGACAGAAATTGCCGTCGTCGTCAATTTTCTTCAAAAGTATAATTATTATTTATTTTATCGAGTCAGGATTTATTTTCAGATACATTATTTCTTATTCAAAATGGCATCATTTAAAAACGATTATTTCAAAATTGTAGCTGCAAGCTATACCACGATAGCATGGCCTGCAGAGAGGCATAAAGGAGAGAGTCTGCTTCATTCATTTTTAATGAAACGTGTTTTCAATATGGCGAAAGAATGCTTGGTATTAAATCCGTGCGTCCAAATGATTTTTAAATAGTTTGAAGCCCAGGATACGTTTGGAGACATCCATTCATTCGCATTAACAAACTCCTATTATTATAAACGAATATTTCGAAAATAAGCTAACACCACAGCAATGAGACAGAGGAAAGACTGCTAAATTAGCTTTAAGTTGAGTACAGGAAATCCTACAGAATATAACAGGACCGCAGACACACTAGCTGCACCATTGTATAGAGAATAGCATTTTTAGACCATAAATCACCACGATATAGGATCACAGTATTCAATATATCACATCTAATGCGTAAAACACATTATGTGTGGATAAACGGCATAATAAATAGGCTTTTCAAGGCTAATATAAACATCGTAATCCAAACACACACTGTTAATACCTATTGGACTCTTATTGTAATTTGGAAAAGCACTATATTATAATGTATCATTATTTTAAACGCAATTTTAATATAACCTTATCGTCTACACTTCATTAAAGCTGGTCCTATTGCATTATGTATTCTCGCATGCTCCCTGTTTAACCTACTCTATTTGTAAACAAGTCCATACAGTACAACTGACCTCCTTCTCTTCAGTGTGTGAGTGTGAGTGTGAGTGTGCCTGTCAGTGTCTGGTTGCGTGTTACATCATCACGCAATCGCTGTCCTCCCGTGGCCTACTGAACTGGCTCTAAGCGCTGCACCAATTTAGCTATCTACTACACACGCTGCTTGAATCAGGGCTGCAGACACGCGCAGCGGCCGCGCGCACACATCCAGTCACGGAAGCAGCACGGCTACAGTAAAGGCTGCATGCAAACTCGTGAAATATTAAAGGGAAACACATGCAGCCTCATACAGGAGCTCCAGCACCTGCTTCACAAAGAAATATGTTTTTGAAAATAGTAATATAAAAATATAACGTAATCCAATTCTACTGGCCCTATATGAGTACGTGTTTGTATGCAGGAACCCTTCTATAGTAAAATGAATGAGAAAGTTTTGAGGGCGAAAAATAAAACCAATATTTTTGGTATTTTCTAAAACTGATTATTTGTATTTTATATAACAATTGTAGGCGGTATTCTAAGTGTAATTCATCATTTCTTGCTACTACAAAGTTAATATCTGCACTTTCACATATAGAAAGTCAATATACTGTGCATTGATTGTTGTTTTTTAATCCAATGCAAAAGTATAATCTCCTAGTGTGTTACTAACCCTATTTTACTGTGGCTCTTTTTGGTGCGTAATTTTCTGCGTAAAAGGTGGCACACTATTTGGCTTCTTGTGTCACCACACCACATGCCCTTTCCTGTAAAATAAATGGGAGTAAACACAAAAAAAGTGGGTGAAGATGATTTTAACCTGCACTACATATCTGCCTGCACGCAGACCCTGTTGGCCCCTGTGGCACAGCAGAGCAAGACTGCACTGCAGTTTCTTTTCTCTGGTTAGAAAACTGTGTAAAATAAGAGCAGATAATGAAATATTACACGAGGATTGTTTTCTCAATAGCTGGCCAGCTGTCGACACCAGCACCGGGATAATCACCGACCTGGAGCAGGAAAAATGCAGCCTGCTCAACCAGTGACACCCTCCTGTCCGCTCACCGTCATTACGAGGATGAGTGTGAGAGAGGTCAGATGGACACGCAGGCCTCGTGTGCGCATGTTCCAAAACATACAGCACTGACTTTAGATAATCTGCCACATCTGAACAACTTGATCACAAAAACTTTCTGCAATATAAAACACTTTACAATCTCCATTAAAGCCATACAGATGTTATACTATCCTTGTACTGTCAGCTGAGAGAACATTAGCATAATCCCAATGTAAAATTCAAATAAAGTTTTCAAGGGCAAATAACTTCCTATTCGAGATATTTTTGCAGTATAGCCTCATTTCTTCCTAACTTTAAAACCCTGTGGTGGTAATAGGCGCAGCAGGCTCTATGTTAATTAATAAATGTATTTCCAAACAAATTACTTTTTTGCAAAACGAAATTTATTCTTGTTGAAAAACAAACTGTGTAAAAAGATCACACTTCAATTACACAAAACTTGCCAAAAAATGTACAATGTTTTATTACTGAAATAAACACACACTGCATATTATTATTATTATTATTATTATTATTATTATTATAAATGGATGACTTTGCTCTCTGTGTTTTTGTAATACAAAGTTCAAATCAAAACCTTAAAAAAAACGTTTTGAAACTAATACAAAAAAACATGGATGTGTTTGATACAAATACATTATCAGCCTATTCTCCAAACATGTGATCATTAATAACCCTTCCATTGAATCGTTATCCTGAGACGCCCTAAACAGTGACTGAAACGAATTACTCCATGGAAACACAAGTGGTAGTCTGATTCACACCGAAAAACATGAACATAAATATATATTTTTAAACAGCATGAATATAGGCACAAATAGTGATTTCTTTTTTATGTCCATCATTCAGCTGCGTGCTATCAAACAAACATACAAAAATAATCCTACCTTCGAAGAGGGGCGTTTTTTGTTATTTTTGCTGTTTAGTCTCTGGAAAAGTTTTTAAGACATTTAACAGTCGCTAGAGCCGCTCAACAGTCTGCTGGGGAAGATTTCTGCGGGGTGGCCGGCTGCTGGAGGCCCCAGAGAGGAGGGTAACACCGGGATAACGGCCGGGGAAGTCCTGGAGGGGCTCAGCGACTCCCCAATGATGCTCTCTATGGAGAAGGGGGACCTCTGCACCGGGGAGCTGGACTTCTGCACCGGGACTGCAGCCTGCACGCTGGCTGAGCCCAGGCTGGAGCTGAGCTGGGGATAAAACCTAGTCCTGGCTAAGTCCGTGGTCATCAAAGAGGGCGCGGGGATAATGGTCCCGGTGTGTGAGTGCCTGGAGTGCTGTTGCTGCTGCTGCTGCTGCTGCTGCTGCTGCTGAAACGCAAAAAGTGCAGAGTGTGTGTGGTAGGACTGGAGCTGGATGCCGTATCCTCCGCAGCCATACGGTCCGTACCCGTACGCAGCAGCCGCGGGGATAAAGCTGTTGTGTTCCCGCAGCAAGTCCTGTGCCTGCTGCCGCTTGAAGCGCTTCCTGCGCCGCAGAAAGCTTCCGTTGTCAAACATATCAGCAGACTCCGGGTCCAGGGTCCAATAGTTGCCCTTCCCAGGGTTCCCGGGCTCCCTCGGTATCTTCACGAAGCAGTCATTCAGGGACAAGTTGTGTCTGATGGAGTTCTGCCAGGCCGGGAACTTCTCCCTGTAGTACGGGAAGCGGTTGCTGATGAAGTCGCAGATCTCGCTGAGAGTGAGCCTCTTCTTGGGGCTCTGCAGGATGGCCATAGTGATTAAGGCGATGTAGGAGTAAGGGGGCTTCACCAGGGTGTTCTTGCCCGCCGGCTTGTAGGAGGAGGTGGAGCCGTCCAGGCACGGAGGAGACCCGTCCAGGAGGATGCCGTCGTGCATCTGCGCCTCCTCGTCCACGTAGGAGCGCGTCTGGCTGTCTCCATCCTCCCCTTCGCCGACCACGTCTATGTCGGTCTCTTCCGAAAGGATGGAGGCATCCGACATCTCTGAGCTCAGAGTCATGGCTCACACACGGTTGTGCGCTCCGACGCCAGATGAGGAAGACGATGAGATGCCCTCCCTCTTCAAAAACTCATATGAGGAGGGGGAGAGGAGAGGACCACGTGTCGCCGTCGGTGAGAGCTGTCCCCTTGTTTTCTCGCTATTTCCATATATTTTCAGGTTTTTTTTTATCGCCCACTATACCGAACGGTCCCGATGTCAGGCAAGGGAAATGTGCCGGGAAAACCTGCAAACGGGGCCAAACCTGAATAACAGAGGGGGCGGATCTTCTCCCGGTATTTATACCGCCGCCCTGGTCACATGGGCAGGAAACGTCACCGAGGCAAATGAAAAGAGAGAGAACAAATTAAATAACACAAAACAAAAGGTCTTTGAAAATTAACTGAGTGGTTTGGAAAAAAAAAGTTTGATGTGGCCTCCATCCTTTTTAGTGGTCATTCAGGGTGGCCTGTAGTCCGCATTAATCTGAAGTTTTTATTCTACCGCAGTGTTTTTGCGCAAAAATAGATGTTGGAAGAATTACAGATTTTTCAGAAAGTGTAATTACTAGTTATTGCTAAGATCGAAGTGGATATCTTGACAACCGTTGTATTTATTTAAGCATTTACTGGTGGGTTACATTGAGGAATCACATGCAATTTTCATCTAATATGCAGAAATAATATATAAAAAATACTTGGAATAAAAAAAAGTATCCGCTAAAATAAAATAGATTTATTTGGTGATTGGGGCACCGTATCCAGGCAGCTCAGTTTGCGTGATCCGGTAGTTATCTAGATTATCCGCAAGCCATTTGTAATGGAAAAGAGTTAGCTGTTAACTCGCATCAGTCACGGGTCACGCAGAGCATGCACGCCCCAGATATAGAAGGCCTCTGCCGTGCGTCTGGAGCACAGTACCGGGTGTGTGTGTGGACATTTGTAATCATCTTTCTTTATTTCATGGAGTTAGGAAAATGAAACGAATCTTTTTAAATTAATGTCTAAAAACATAAAATACATTTTATACAGGTTAATCACATAAAATAACAAAATGTGAACTATATAAAAAAATTAACAAAAGATGTAGGGCCATTACAAACATTGTAACACGTAATATATCTACCTAATTGACCCTTATTAAACCTATGTAAAGTGATGTTTGTTGAATTAACATTATTATTAGTAGGCTATAGATTATGTTCTATATTGATATTATTTTTAACGCCATCTTGCTGCGTTCAGATCTGCCTTTAAAACTGTTATTAACTTAGTTGGCAGAATTTTTTTTTAACGTGGTTTCCTTTTATTGTTAGCCTAGGTGAAACATCAAGAATTGCTTTAAATAGCGAAAACAATTCAAACAACGCATTTACTAAATGATTGCATTTTGCTGACTTAAATCAGATGATATATATTTTTTAAACTGGTAAAACTTGGTTTTAAATACCAAACTTATGTAAAGTTTACTTTTTTGTATCTAAAAACATAAACCCAGTTTTTTATAGATGCACTAGGTGTAAAAATACTTTTATACTTCAAATAAAACATATTTACCTGAAGCTTATGCTGACACAAATTGTTCAGGTGTCAGTCACCTTCTGAGGTTCCCATTGGACCAACGCCATCTAGCGGTAAAAGAGTCTCAATTAAAACACTTGACGGCCCATAAAAGTGAAAAACTGTTGCAGCTTTCACAACCATCAACTCACTAACCTCCCTTAAACTATCAATTTTTAATAAAGAGTTTGATGTAAAGTGTAAGTGCTTTGTTATCCTGGTAATAAAGCTCTAATTCTTCTGGCCCCTATAAATGAGTATTTGTTTGTACTGTTCTGTTGTAAAATGAATAAGTTCTTATGGTGAAACATACAACCAATATTATCTGTATTTTTTGTGAACAGTAAACTGTTATTTTTCATTTAGATGATTGAAGGCTGTATTTTATTCATCGCTTCTGCATTTTCTTTTTTTTAGAAAGCATAAGTGCACTAAAATAAGTCAATAGCCTAATTCAGTATTTCTTATTGTTTTTTTAATGGAAAAAAATGATCTGATAGAAACTTTAAAAAAAAAATAAAAAAAAAAGGTAGACATGTCCCTCGCACGTTTTGTATGAATTAATGAATTATTCAATTTAAAGTTTCAAAAATATATTTCAACTATAAGGTGAATCTTTCAGTGTCGTTTCCAAATGTAGAGGAGTCATTGTTGGAACAAGTTTGTATCGTTTGCTATGATACATTTGAAGCCATTTATCAATAGGCCGTATTGTGCAATGATTTAAGAAGTGTTAGCAAAAATCATGGATTAATCAAATTAAACTTTAAACTTCAAAATGGATGTGCCTCTATAAAAATAAACAACTTATGGACATTACAAAAGTTATTACGCCTGTGCATTATCCTTTATTATTCAGACATTATTGCCTTATTATTTGTTTGTTTGTTATTTATTACTTATTATTTGCCCAACGACGTCGTGAGTGGCTAACTCACGAACCTTTTTATTTGTATTTATTTTATCAAGTCAACATCAGACCTTCAGTTTGATTCCAAAGAATGGTTTAATTCTTGTTCGAGTTAAAAATGTATAGAAAACTTTTTTTTTTTTTTAAAGAGAGCAAGTGCATTTCACTAAAGCGAAGTTTCGGAGCCAAAAAGGTTAAAATTAAGCGAAAGTGTCTGACACTATCAGAAAAAAAATCCACACAACTGAATAAAGACCAGGCGATTATATGTTCTCGTCTTGAGTCGACACTTGCAACACAGCTCTCGCATGTGTGGTAAACCACCTTTAAAGTGTTTAAATTCCCCCTCTGAGATCCGAGGGTGTTTCCGTGCTATGGGGTAGGCTACCAAGAAAGCACTTAGCTGGTTCAACGCGATCCCTGCCTGCTGCTGCTCTGACAAAACCCGAGTGTCACCGACCCTGTCCGTCTGAGGGTCTGCGGCATGTGATCCGTGTGTGTATCACATGAATCACATGCAGAGGCGAGACCAAAGGCCGCACCAACAGAGGAGAGGTGGACTGCAGGAGGAACAGCAGGAAAAAGATACTAAATATTGTTTTTATTTATATATTCTATAAAGACATATGAGTTGATGGTGTCTGTATTTGCTAACATCTGTTGGTTACGTTTAAAAACATGACATATGTTTTATTTTCTTCAAGGTTACGGAGTGATAGGTGCTTCTTATTCAAGTTCTTAAAAGACAAAACAATACGCAAAGCAAACATTTATTTATCACACCTCTATAATTATTATTATAAATATTCATATACAGTAGCCTATAATTTGATATCAAGCCATAAATTATTCGTTTTGTAGTGTGTGTGTGGTTTTTACACGGTGCTATGTGTGTATACAATTATTTTCATGCTGATGTTGTGACATCACTGTAAAGGCCCTGACACAAAAAGCAGTCACCAGAGAACTCGCCGAGGCCGAGACTGTTGCGTCGGCGTGTTCTCCTGCGTCTTGGACATGTGTCGCACTGGAACACACCGCAAAGACTTCAGCCGAGCACGTACGAACTGCGCATGCATGAGTGGCAATAACTCTCCTTACCAGCAGGCGGCGGTAGTGTGTATTCGTCATTCAAAAGAGGCAACAACCGGAAGACAGAGTAGAAGAACAGACTACGTTGATAACATGGGATATAAACAAACAACAAATAGCGTGTGCATTCCATTTTCACTCTCGTCCATCGAAAACATGTTTTGTGCGGTACTGGAGCTATCAGCCATTGGAGTGTTGCTTGTGGAATACATTCTCAAGCAACCGTTTCGCCTCATGCACTGATTCGCTAGCTGTATAGCCAATCAGAGTGATTTCTTTGTCCGACTGCCTGTTGCCGACGCAAGGCCGATTCAACATGTTGAATCGGCCGTGCGTCGGCCATGAAAGGCAATAGTAAGGCCAAATAAGGCGTGTCACGGCCAACGGTGAAAACGGTCGATTTCGTTAATCGGACGACGAAGCGTGCCCTGTCGCCCAAACTCAATTTGGTGTGTCCCGCACCATCGGCCGTGACACGCCTTATTTGGCCTTTCATGGTCGGGCCAAATAAATCACTCTGATTGGCTGTTCAGCTAGCGAATCAGTGCATGAGAAGCGAAACGGAAGTGAGGGACGTAAACAAATGCTTTAAGAAGGCACAAAGAATGTCTTCCGCAAGCAACACTCCAATGGCTGATAGCTCCAGTACCGCACGAGACATGTTTTCGATGGACGAGAGTGAAAATGGAACGCACACGCTATTTGTTGTTTGTGTCACTACCCGATCCGTCCCCCTGCCCGATCTGTACTGCGCATGTGCGAGATGGTCCGCCATATTGGAGAACTCCGGACGGCAACCCAGGAAGGACAGTTGACACAGTGGCTTTTGGCAAAGCTGAAAAATAAAACTCGAGAGAAAACTTGAGTTATTGTTATTACAACGTGACTTCACTATTATTTAACAACTCTTTTTATTGGGTTCTTTTATTTGGGGTTAAGTACATTGTCAGAATAAGTGAGAAATGAATTTAACTTCTGTTAGACAGCCATATGCCATATATTTTTGCATACATTCACAGCAAATATCTATATGATAGCTGTATACAGTGAAGGTTTTCTGCTTGGACAAGTGTATCTGCACATTTAGATGGACATTTGACTTATTTGTTATTATGAAAAATGTATAAAATAATGAAATTGTCTAATTAACACATTTAAAAACTATTTGGGTGCATATATGGTGTTTTTGCATATAAAAACATTATTTTGATGAAGATGCAATTAATGTCAAATTACAACATTTGCATAACCATATCAAATACATAGTCTTCCCTCTGTTCATCTTAAAATAAGTTTCACTGGTAAATGGGCTATGTCATTATCATGTATAAGCATAGAGTAAACTGCAAATATATCATCATCAGTACGCTTAGTAAGGTTCATAATCAAAAATATGTTTGCTCTTCCTCCACATGTGCCAAGGTGACTGTATATTTCCACAAACCATTACATCCATCAAAAGGAATTATCAGCTGCAGCCTCTGTGTTTTATTCTATCCGCAGTGTTACCAGACAACACAAACTAACAAGGTATTATAAATACTTGTGTCATACCTATCTTATATAGAGAGTTCAATTAAATATTGGCCTGCAAATGTTACAAAGGCTGGTGTTTATTACAGTGCCTATAGGGCGCTAGATTGCACGTTTTATGTCGCATCTTCCTCAGAGTTAAAAGACTGTAGCACTGAAAATACACAAATACAAGATGAACACTTTAAAGCAGTTCACTTCGCTCTATCTCAAAAATGTCTGCATTGTGCACCTGCATGTGCTTTAAAGTAAAAAATACTTTCAGTCATGGAGATGTAGAACGAAGAAAGCCTCGGATTTACAGTGAAGCAGACGCTTGAAGATGACATTAACAGCAAATGTTTTTGCCAGGATGAATAATGGATATGTATGGTACATTAATTGTATAATGTAAAGTGCTTGCAAACACTTTGTTTAAGTTGTAGCCTTTAACTATGTTGTTGTTGTTTTTTTAGAACATAAATATAATAACATACATGTATAAACATTTAAATATCTAAAATGTGTTAAATCTGGGGCAGCCCAAAACCCAAATATGCGCTCAGCTTTACTCCACACATTTTGACATGTCATTGATAAAGTGGAAGTGTTGCCTGCAAAGCTAAACTCAGGGAATGAAAACCCTCCCACCACTTTGCGCTTTTTGCCCTACGTCACTTCCTACCTCCTCTCTCGCTTCCATCTTGCTCCCCGCATGTGTCTGCAGTTAGTTTACAGGTTAGTGAGGAGCTTTAAATACCTTATTCCCTGCACTGTTTTCCCCTGTTCCGACGGCAACAGGTAAACGAAAGCCTTTTCTGACTAGATGGCTGAAATCCTCCGGGCTAACGTTACTGACGCAGTTTGTGTGAGAGGCCGTCCACTCAACAGGCTCACAGCTAGCTCAGAAGCTAGCTAAAGTTAGCCTACAAGTTCTCGCATTAAAGCTAAACCACACCTTGTTTCGGGGTAGTAGTTTGCTGAATTAGTCATCTAGTGTTATCTTAAACGTAATTGTCTTTACCTGTGGTGTTTTTGGCTTATTTCTTAGCCTAACGCAGTGTTTTATTATGTGGCTGTCTTAGCTTGTTGTCCATAAAACAGACAACATAGAAGGGGAAGCATTAGCTTTCGAGTGTGTTGGCCCGTGTGTGTCGTTAAAGTAGTCATATCGTCACTTGTTTTCACATTTTTCATCATTTGGTTGCGATGTATTTTCGAAGTAATCGCAACATTGCAGATATTGCTAAATGTGAGAGCTCATAACGTTTTTTTCATTTGTAGTATTTATGTTTTAAATGCATCTGATTTACTCTTTTCATGTTTAGCATGACTGTTTTGCAAGGGTGTTATGAACACGATACAGTAATATTATAAAATGTAGTAGGCCTACATTCGCTGTAGCAATATGATCATGACAGTGAGACCTAAATACATGGTATATGTACATGCTCTTCTTTGTTAATGTGCATGTGTGTTTGTCAAAAACTTCCAATAGGAAAGTCACATTTCTTTGTAATGTTGTGCAATCTCCATTTGGCAATTATTTATTGCAACACCAGTCAAAGTGTCTCATTTTCATTGCTTTGCAGTCTGACATTAGTACAGCCTGTACTTGTATGGTTTGCTTTGTGTCTTGATGCCTGCTTTTTTTACATATTTTCATCTTTTACCCCTTACACGTTTATCTTTCTTGACCATGATGTAATATTTACAAAATATTAAATGTGGCGGTAATACTTATGTGAATCATCAAACATCCAAAGTGTGTTTTAAAAGTGTGTTAAACTTAGAGGCTGTGAGTATACAGATACACCTAAATAAACTAATGTTATTTATTTTCTTCTTTTTCAGATGAAAGAATCAATTATGAATCAAGAAAAACTAGCTAAACTACAGGCACAAGTCCGCATCGGCGGCAAGGTAAGTGAAACTCAAATATCATAGGTTCCATGAAGTAATACATTTTGTGCAAAGCACTGTCTGCTGTTTCTTAATGTGTTCAGTCATGCTTACTTTGAGCTTGGTGCCAAAACTATTACAAATGCAGCCTAAAACGTATTGAAACATAAATGATGCTTGGAGGTTTACTTATACATATTCATAATATGTTTGTATGAATGTCCCCACAGGGCAGTGCTCGCAGAAAGAAGAAGGTTGTACACAGAACGGCCACCGCAGATGACAAGAAGCTTCAGTTCTCCTTGAAGAAACTTGGTGTCAACAACATTTCTGGGATTGAGGAGGTAAGCATGACTTTTCGTCCCACTGTGATTTAAGACGACTGTTTCAGGGCTGCCTGTTGTTGTTTGTTTGTTTTTAACAGTGTAACTCTTTGGTCCGTTACAGGTTAACATGTTTACAAATCAAGGAACAGTCATCCACTTCAACAATCCCAAAGTGCAGGCCTCCCTGGCAGCCAACACCTTCACCATCACGGGCCACGCTGAGACCAAGCAGCTGACGGAGATGCTGCCGGGCATCCTGAACCAGCTGGGAGCCGACAGCCTGACGAGCCTTCGGAGACTCGCCGAGGCTCTGCCCAAACAGGGTCAGTAACCTACTATACTAAAACCTGTACAGGTGATGCAAGATTAGGAACTGTGGTGTAATTGTTTTCAAACTCGTTTAACCATCTGTGACTCACTGGGCCATATACAAGTCCAAAAACCATGCCCTCTTTACACTGTCATAACTTTGCAATGGTTTATGCTAGTGGCATGCCTTTTCTCCCTCTGAAACTAGTGAACAATGCTAAACGACCCTTTTTCCGAACCGCCTTTGTTCCATAAAAGCCATTTAGCTGTGTATAAAACAATTGAGTTGTAAAAGATGTGAAGACTCACCCTATTTGCATGTTGGATTTGCTTAGTCTATCTGTATGTGAAACATACATTTTTGTTAGTGACCTTTTCTGAATCGAGCACTCCTATTTATTTGCTCCACTGGATGTCACACACGGATCCAAACTGTTTATACACACTTTCAGAGGAGTGTGATGATTCTGGGAATGTACTGCTAAAATGACCATTTCTACGGAGAAACATAAAGGTATACAAATAAAGAAAGGTCTTAACGTGGGTCTCTTAGGGTTAAAGAGATTCTTTCCTTTTGGATTCAGTCATGATTGTTTCATTACATGTTACTTGTTAGATGCTTTTATCCAAAGCCACTTACATACTCAATACTAGGGATCGACCGATATGGCTTTTTCAAGGCCGATACCGATCATTAGTAATCAAGGAGACCGATAACCAATATACATTTGCATTAAAATCAGAAAATCTTGGTGTCAAAATGTAGAATAACACAACTTCTATGAAACTTCTTTTTATGTTTAACCTTCCGGTATCATTCGATTTGACTACGCAAATTAGTCATTCGAGACAAAAATGTCCACTGCAAAATATTTTGATAAAAACATTATATTAAAAGGTTTTTTTCAAAACGTTTTTGGGTTCAATCTTTAAAGCAACTTCCGCCCTAATAGAAAATACGAAAAATGTGATTATTTTCAGGATTTTAACCCTTTAAATGCCATTTTGAAAACATGAAACCGCTGTTTTTTTTCATGATGAAAACAGAGAAAATGAGTTATTTTCCAAAATATACATATCTGGTGACTGGCTCTTTTTTCTTTTTTTATAACAGTCTTGGATATGTCAAAAACTAGCAGAAAATTGACTTTTTTGCATTATTAGTTTTTGCACAAAAAAGTTACATATCAGTCATTTGGGACAAAAATGTCCATTTCTGAAAAAACTGCTCTAAAATGACAACAGATTCATATTTTTTTATAACTTTTTGGGGTTAAATCTTTCAATCATCTTCAGTCCTGATCAAAAATACCAAATGTTAAATTATGTTCAGGATTTTAACCCTTGAACTGCCAGTTTGAAAACACGAATTTGCGTTTTCTATGAAAAACATGCACAAAAAGACACTTCTTTTCCATATAATAAATGTTGGGGGGGGTTTATATTGGAGGAAAATAGTTCAATCTGTCCTTTTTACTGTAAATCACCAGATGTGACATTTTACCATTGAATTACATGCTTGTCATTTCTTGGTTTCTTTGCCTGTTGTATACTGGGGCCCTGACAGCCGTGTGTGTGTGTTAGATTTGGTTTACAGCAAGTCGCAGTTTTCGCCTCATATCTTTCTTTCTTTCTCTCACTCCCTCACTCCCAAACTCATACGCACTCGTACATATTAAACCTCCTTATACCTTGTATGTGATTGTGTGTGAGAATGAGACAGGACTAAGTGTGCTCTCATGGCGTTTTGTTTTTCCTTTGTGCTGTTTCATGTGTCTTAGAGGTAAACAGATGTATGATATTGACCCAGCTTGCCCTCGATGTTTTCAATTGTTTGGAACTTCTAAGTCCTTTGATAATGTCTCTTTAGCAAACAGACATACACAGCGATGCATACACTCCTTGAATTAAATAAAAACACCTGGCTGCAAAGCCAAAGCTTCAAATATGTGTAGTTTGGCTGGATGGTCATTTCATTCCTGTGATACGCAACAAGCAGTAAGATGAAGAGGAGCTTCTCTGTGGGACAAGTCTCATGCAGCCCGTAACTTCAGCTGCAGGACTCATCCTCTGAAACAGAAACACCCTGACAAGGAGAATCTGGTGTGGATCTGCCTGTGCTTGAAAGGAGTCAGCACAAAGATAAAACACTTTTTTGCCAAACAGTTCATTTATCGGATGGGGGCAGAGAAGAAGGAACAATTCTGCCCCGAATCCCACGTTGATACAGAGGAATCGATGAGGTCCTTTGCTGAGGAGGTTGAGGAGCTTGAGGAGCTGCAGAGGAGCTGCTGAGGAACAACACGATGGTGATGAGGTTGAGATGTATGAAGGACTACAAAACCTTTTAGATGGAAAAAGCCTGATGTTCACTAAAGTGCTTAGTGATCTCCTCCTCAATCACACCACAAAGGGGATGATAGCACCAGTGATTGCCCCAGGAGTAACAAGAATATTCGTTGCGCCGCCACGTGAAGCCATGCTTAGAGAAATGATCAGATGTTTGTGGTGGAGTCTGATCGTTCTTCGTCTGACCCTTCCCCTGAAAGTGGAGAGGACACAGAGGATCCCATCCATTCCTCTGCACTATCCTATCCAATGTTTGCTCAAACATCTGTGGCATCAACATCCCTCCAGTTTGCCACCGAACGTCCCCCCTGCAGGTGTGTCATGTCCACAATACTGCTGATGATCTCAGGGGTAAAGAATAAATCAAAGAAGGATTCCACGTCATGAATTCTTATTTATGCCACTCGTAATGGCATAACGCGTGGGCCCTGAAACCAAACCTCTGGCAGCAGGAATGTAGCGCGGCGTTTCCTCGTGAGAGGGAAACCAGATTTTGAAAATGTTTTGATGTCCACCCATGATGGACACAATCCTCCGGATAGGATAGTGCAGAGGCATGTAGCGCAGCTACGGGATGGGATCCTCTGTGTCCTCTCCACTTTCAGGGGAAGGGTCGGACGAAGAAGGATCAGAATCCACTAC